CAGTTTGATACTATGAACTGAATTATTAATAGAGACTATTTGAAGCCTGCTGCATCAAATATGATACTCAACAAAATTACATATGCAAACTTTGTTTAGATTAAAGAAAGTTTGCATATGTAATTTTGTTGAGTATCATATTTGATGCAGCAGGCTTCAAATATGATACTCAACATATCATATTTGAAGCCTGCTGCATCAAATATGATACTCAACAAAATTACATATGCAAACTTTGTTTAGATTTGTCTAAACAAAGTTTGCATATGTAATTTTGTTGAGTATCATATTTGATGCAGCAGGCTTCAAATATGATATGTTGAGTATCATATTTGAAGCCTGCTGCATCAAATATGATACTCAACAAAATTACATATGCAAACTTTGTTTAGACAAATCTAAACAAAGTTTGCATATGTAATTTTGTTGAGTATCATATTTGATGCAGCAGGCTTCAAATAGTCTCTATTAATAATTCAGTTCATAGTCTCAAACTGAGCAAAATGTATGCTATTTGGTGCAGATGCAGATATTTATATGGACAAAAAGTGATGAAATTCTGAAGCTTGTAATGTAAAAAACAAGGGGAGTCTGCTTTTAGTTATTATGCCGCCCGCAGCTGGAATCAGCTTCCAGAGATATTACTGCAGTTATTCTGACCTTTACTTGATCAAAATCAGTCAAGATTTGACCTGAAGCTGGAGGTTTGTACAATTACACTAAAAGAGCTTTTACTGCAACTCTAAACTATCAATTAGAGACAGAAGACATGCGGTAGATTGTGTGTGACAGCAAAGTCTTGATCATGTTGATCGTGTACAGGCCTTTGCGTATCAAATATAACACAGTAGGCTGTATAGGGTTAACGCTGGTTGGTTTAAGGTCCAGTGCTCTTTACCATCTCGGCTGACGCCAGGATTTTTGTGCTTATTTGACAGCAAAAATAACATGACAATAATTGCGCTCATAAGCAGGTTTTTAATTCGTCAAGAGGAATAACAAACATAATTGCACTGACATCTGGTCGTAATCAACAAAGCACAGGAGAACAATCATTTTCATTTTCTTTCATTAGCTACACCCAAGATATTCTACACTCGTATATATTTCATATCTATATGTTTAAAGCATTTACACAGATGCCAATCACTCAATCTTTTAGCTTTTAAAGCTATATTGGTGCAGTCAACTGTGTGCACTAATGGTTTCCCAGGATGCACCAAGCTTAATAAACTCACCAGTTCTTAACGCCAAGAGCAGTTGAGTTTCTTCACACCATGCAAGTAGACATACGGGACGAAACAGACGTAAGAAGCTCCTATAAAATTGGTGAGTTTCACAGCGAGGATGGAGTTTCTGAAGCTGCTGTAGATGCGGAGAATGAGGTGAGTGAACCAGCAGAAGATGAAGATGGTGGCGACTGCAACCACGCTTTTGGCTGCTCGGACCTGGTTGCTTGAGGATGGATTGGATCTGACCTGCGTCTTCTGTTTAGTAGCGGCTCTAGAAGCATCTGTGGAGGTCGGAGATCTTTCTTCCATGCTGCGTTCTGCGGTTCTTTCCAGTTTTTGGTCTACAGATGAAGGTTGAGGGTTTGTTCCATTCCTGGAGTGATCCTTGATTCGTTTTTGACTCCGAAGCAGTGTTAAGACGATCTGAACGGTGGCATACGTTATCCCAATCATTGGAATGACATTAGCCAGCGTAAGGTACATGCCATCATACGTCTGCTTGGCTGCAGGTGATGCGAAACGTTCTTCGCAAACTTCCGAACTCTCGTTCGCATTGTGCTCTGCGATAAAGATGTACGGAAGACTGAACGCAGTCGACACGATCCAGCTCCCAGCGAGCAATACGACGACTAACCTCAAATTATCCATCTGCACCGGAGCTCCTCCACGTCTGATGGAGCCCACCAGTTTCTGGTGCCAATACATGCTGATGAACATAGTGGAGAAGATGCTGCTGGTCTCCGAGATTTCGTGGGAAAACTTAGTCACGCCGCAGTACTCTTTACTCGTGAGCCAGGATTTGGCAACGTGCGCCATGGTTTCCGGCAGATCCACCAGACAGTTTGTGATCAGATTGGACACGGCCAGGTTAACGAAGAGGACATCGCTGGTCCGAAGCGGAGATCCAGATCTGGGCAGAGAGCGCAAACCCAGCCAACCGTTCCCTATGATACCGGTGAAGCAGAAGAAAGCTCTCATTAATAATTCAATCCAGTCTGGAGCCTCCATCTCAGAGATGTGTTCTTCTTGATTTATCTGTACAGAGGTCAGTAATACATTTAGTCGGTTCGCGGCTAAATTTATAAGCTGTGATTGGCTGACATCACCCAGAACTTGATGACGCCATCAAGAACATATTATCAGAGTTGTCCTGGATGCATAATTGCTGTACATGTGTAATTAACATAGTCATGCAACAATGCAATATTCCATGGGTGCATAAAACTATAATCAAACACACACACACACACACACACACACACACTGCAAAAAGTGGTAACCAGTTGTTACTTCAAAGAGCTTTATGTCTACATGATATAATGGTCTAAAGGTAATTAGGTTGATTCAGCGATATGAAATACATTTTTTTTGACTCGAATAAAACCAGTTAATTTAGATGTTACCATTTTTTCCCAGTGTGTGAATATATATATATATATATATATATACACACACACATACATATTTGTTTAATAATTATTCAATGTTTTATGCATGAATTTTTCAAAAATAAAAAAAATATATTTTTTTTTGTTAAATAAAGGTCATACTACCCTTTATGTTATTTCATTGGTTTATGTGACTATTATTCTTCTTATTTTTTTTTTATTGTTATATTGATAATTTATATAAGTATAGTGTAAAGCCTGATTGGATTAATTTGTTCTTTTTGGTTGTTATTTTGTAATTAGTATTGGTTTATAAGAAGTTTTTAGTGGAACTGAAATGTAGGTGTTTTCTTTTATTTTTTAAATTTTTGATATGAATATCAACATCTTCAGCTTCCACTAATTCCGTGCAATGAATATTTGCATTTATGCATGTTGAAGATGCTTTTATCCAAAGCAATTTACAATAGAGAAGCAATGAATCTCAGAGCCAACCATACTGAACTGAATGAATGATTTAAAAGTATGCACATTCCTACCTTATTTGTAAATGAAATTCATCTCCAATCCTTCTTATAGTTTCAGGTTTATCCATAGTTATTCGAATGCTAGAAATCAGCTGCTTTTCCAAGTAAAACCCGCCAAATAACGTAATTATGATACGTAATATTCAGAGGGTGGGGAGATGGGGGTCTATATGTCTCTGCATCGACCGAATTATTATTTTTTTATTCATTTATTTTTATTCCCAGTGAATAGGAGTTCAAACTCCCACCCGGGTGACACTACTCCAATAATAGACCATGCAAAATACTGCATAATAATAATAATAATAATAAAATATTGCCAAGTAACGTTGCAAACATTAAAATCAGAAAAGGACTTTAATTGTAAGCGACACAAGTATACGAAAAACAAAGGTATTGCTTCCTATTTTTTCCTGATGTTTGTTATTATTGAACTAAAAATGTATATAGCTAAATTTTTATATAAAAATTTTTTTTTTTAACCACTTAGGCATGTTGACAATAACGTCTTCAACATTGTCTATGACCAGATATGTTTTTAGTGGACAAAATTTGCTTAACTTGAAAAAGCATGAAAATATACAGATATAATGTTTTGTTTTTTTCATATGATTTAGTCGAGTTAGTTTTGCATCAAACACAATGTGATTTTCGGCAATCGAGATCTGGCAGCAATAGATATATACACGCGGTATACAGATACATTAGACATATCTATGATAGGCACCCTCTGAACGCGCATGCGCACTGGCTGACGCGTCTGCTTCTATGGCAACGCAGCGGGAATCATGGGAATTGCGTTCGCTGTTTGGAAAACCGGAAGTGGAGGGAGATTCGAAAAACAGCGGAATAAACAGAGGCGGAATGTGTTTATTGAAGTCATGGCATGATGGTAGAGTATAAAGACGCTTTAGCATTAGTTTGTGACTCTACAGACGTTGAGTTCGCGTGTGTGTGTCGAGTGTGAGCTTGTGTTGACATGCTGCAGCTAACGCTAATGACTATTCAGCGGATTCATGTATTCCTTAAGAGTTCAGAATCATGTTAGTTAGCATTTGTAAATGTTTCTTTCTTCCGTTTCAAACGGAATAAAAGATGTTTGTGTTTATACTCCTCATTTAGCTGATCTAATACTTTATTTTGGCTGCTGATTTGGTTTGGTTTGATTTAACCGACTGCAGCTGCGGTTGAAAGTTGTAAATAAAAGAATAATAATAATAATAACGCAATTAATCTTAGGTTACTTAGAGTAAATATCATTTATATCTACTTCAATCCCTTATTTTGGCTGCTGATTTGATTTATCTGACTGCTGCGAATGAATTTGGTAAATAATAATAATAACGCAATTTATTGTACAGTATTTTTTTAGAGTAAATATTATTTTTATTGTAAGTGTTTACTTTATTTGTGCTGCTGATTTGATTTATCTGACTGACCGCTGCAAATTATTATTTTTTTAATTATAATAATAATGCAATTGATGTTAGGTTATTTAGAGTAAATTATATATTTTTTAATTATAAGCATTTACTTGAATATCTTTTTTTTTAGCTGCTGATTTGATTTATCTGACTGAATTTTTTTTAAATTATAATAATGCAATTAATTTTAGATTCTATATCACAGACTGAGTCAGTATGATCATTTTCAGTTATATTATGCATTTAATTTAATACCTTATTTTTGCTGCTAGTTTGATTTCTCTGACTGACTGCTAAGGTTGAATTAAAAAATATTTAGTATTATTATTATGCATTTTTATTTTATTATAATGCAATTAATTTAAGACTAGTCAATATGTCATATTCAGTAATAAGCATTTACTCTCACTTATATGTAAAAAAAAACGAAATATGTTTATTTGTGGTAGCTGTAAAGCAGGTAAAAACAAACAAACAGCTGAATATGATTCAAAGGCGGTATTATACTGCTAATAAAGCTACCTGAGTATTTTGCATTTTATATCTTGCTTAATATGTCATGTGGGCTGTAAATGCAAGTAACTTTCACTGATTGTTTTCATATCCTTGTTTTAGCTGGATGCTGTAGGATACAGGCCGACTGGAAGTCCTCTGAAACTCACCATCGGTGCCAAGAATGGAAGTGAAGTTGGAGGTTTTGCTGTCATCCAGCATCAAGCGCAGAAAGCCGTGGCCCAGATTCTGCTGGCTGGGCAGGGTGAGATCATACATTTACAAATGATCCTCTGTCATTTCATACAAACACTGATATATGTGAGCCTGGAGCACAAAAGCAGTGTTAAGTCGCTGGGGTATATTTGTAGCAATAGCCAACAATACATTGTCTCAGCACTGTTTGCTTCCAGGAAAAGGAGGGTGTTTTTCTGTTGGATGACAATCGGATCAGCGAAATACATTTGGTTTCGGGACGGACCAAAAAGAAGACCCCAAAACTCCAGCCGCTGTTGCAGAGGGTGGTGACCATGTCAGCGTCTCAGGATGGTAAACGATGTGAGATCTGTGATGAATCCTCCGCGCTGCAGGCCACTGGTGTGTTTAACAGTATTATTTGCAGGCGTGTGGCTGGTGGGTCTTCTGGTCTCTGGAGAACTTTTCCTGTGGAACAAAGACAAGGATTCGTTGAAGACGGTCTCGGCTGTTCCCGAGGTTCATCAGCTGGTTTCTTCCATCAAAGGTCTGTGTAAGAGTTTTTCTTTTTATTTCTGTATGCTTCTAAGCAGCTTCACAGTAATAAACAAGAAAATAATGGTATTTATGTGAATGAAAATTAAAATTGGCTGAAATCAGACACACCCTCAGCTCATCCGAGATTAGGATGAGTTTGTTTCTTCCTCAGATTTGTAGAAATGTAGCATTGCATCAGTGTCTCAGCAATGGATGCTCTGCAGTGAATGGGTGCCGTCAGAATGAGAGTCCAAACAGCTGATAAAAACATCACAATAATCCACAAGTAATCCACAGCACTCCAGTCCATCAGTTAACATCTGGAGAAGACAAAAGCTGAAACTAATCCAGCATTAAGACGTTTTTAACTAGAATATGATTCCATAATCCATAATAACACTTCCTCCAGTGAAAAAGTGTTCTGGTCTGAATCAGGAGAGAAATCTGCACAGATCAAGCACCGTTTACAAGCCAAAACAGCTCTAAACAAATATGTGGCTGGATTTTGATGTTATAGACAACAGGAGATTAACTTTTTCACTGGAGGAAGCGTTATTATGAATTATAGACTCGTATTTTAATGCTGTCTTTTAATGTCTTAATGCTGGATTTGTCTCAGCTTTTGTCTTCTCCCGTAAAGCAATTGTTTGTTTTTAGTTTGTTTGAACTTTTCCTCGCTTTCCTTCGCTTTTAAATAGCTTGAAAGCGCCGTGCGCATTTTACTTTCACTTTCGAATTAGCGGCAATTTGGCGTCAATTGCTTGAATGCAACAACAAAATACATAC